ACATTTGGACAAAAAACAGCTGTTTCATAAACAAATGAAATTAATTACAAATTGTTGTGACCGCCCAAATATGGAAAACTAAATGATAAAAAATTAAAACATGTTTTTCCTGTTGAGCAAGAGCGCCCCATTAGGCCACTTAATGAAATACATTTGTTAAAATTTTTTTTTTTTTTTTTTGATCACTGAATGGATATTGCCTGTCGTTGCCTCTGGCTCCGACAACCCGTTCATGGACCATGTAGATACTAGTTTCTTACCAGCACTGATGTTCTCCGAAGCCTCCTGCTCCACGTTCATCTGGTGGTAATGGCGGATGCAGACCCGACTATCGATCTGGTAGAGGAGGGCGGGGCACAGGTAGGTGAACTGGCTGGGTGAGATGAGCGAGTGCGGACTCAGACCGTAGTAGTCGAGGAGCTGGGTCAGATTCAAACACTGGAGGAGGAAACAGAACAAGTGTAAGTGTTTACGCCCAACAAACAAAAACAAACCCCTGATGTCGAGGACACGTGTTGACCAATCCCACCTCTTCATGCTGGTGTGATGAGCCACTGGGATGTCCCGGCAGCATCGGGGGGGCCATCACTGTGGGCTCTGCCGGTGCTGCCGGAGCTTCTCTCTTGTCCCTGTGGGAATGGCTGTGTCCATGTCCATGTTTGTGGTCATGGTGGTCAGACTGGGGTACGACGGAGGTGGTCTTGTTGCGCCCTCGGTGTCCTCTATTTCTGGGCTTCTTAGTCCGACTTTCCGTCTGATTCTCCGGGGGGGCCGGGGAGACGGGCAGGTTTACTGAAGGCAGCTGCTCCTGGTTAATGGGGGGCGGGTCTGTCCTGGGCTGTAAACCCTGAATGTCATTTTGGTCCTTGCCATGGTTGTCATGGTCGTCATGGTTGTCATGGTCGCCATGGTGAAAATGACCATCAGGTTGGGGACCCGTGTCATTGTGATCATGTTTGTGCTCTGTTTGGTGAGTGTGATTATGATGATCATGGTCATCAGAATGTTTATGGTTCCCATCCTTATCCTTGGCATGGTCGTGATGAGCTACTACATCATGTCTATGTCTGTGACCATGACCATGACCATGACCGTGACCATGACCATGACCATGACCATGACCATGACCATGACCATGACCGTGGTTGTGGTCGTGTTTATGGTCGTGTTTATGGTCGTCCACTGAAGGTGAACCAGTCTGGCTGCACTCTGTGGAAGTTTGCTCCGTGGGCAGATGATCGGAGTCAGGCGTGTGATGGGAATGATCGTGATCGTGATCGTAATCATCGTCGGTGGATGAGTGTGAGTGAAGTCCTTCCTGCATATCCAGCACGTCGAGGTGGGCTACGTGGTCGTGACCGAGGTCTTCGTGCTCCACCTCCACCAGCTTCACTTCACCCAGGCCCAAGCTCAAGAGCAAGCTCTGAAAACCCTTGAAATCCAGGCGGTCCTTCTGACCGTAACGCCTGAACAGCTGCTGGATGTAGTAGAGTTGCTCCTCCTCTAGGGTGTCCCCTTGAGGACCCTGGAACTGAGGAGAAGGAGTCGCTCCTTTGGTGTAGGGAGCTTCAGAAATCTGCAGGTCGCTGTGGGCTTGGCTGTGGTCGGCGTGGTGGCGGCCATTGTGCTGATGGTCGTGACCTTCTGCGTGACAATGGTTGCACTGATGAAAGAGAAACGTGAGCACACACAGGAAGCAGAACTTGGTGTGGATGTGGACTCGCATCGTCCCCTTCACTTCTTGTCCCCTGCGAAGAAAACCGAGGGACAGACTTTAAACAGAGGAAGAGTGAAAAATCACACCACACGGCTGTTACAGATGGTACTGCAGCAGTGTTACCAGTGGGTTTCTTATGGCCCAGTTTGAATTCATTTAACAAAAAGAAATCGATGCAGATCATTGTGGTCGATTATTGACCTGGATGTTTTTATATTCTGAGACAACCTCAGGTCTGACCACAGAGCCGAGGGAACGGCAGAGGTGAATTTTTGCACACGAAAGAAGGTCATAAAAGCACATAGTAAAAGTAATAAAAGTTACATTTTGTACAGTAGTACAGTGAATGATATACAAAGAGAACTACAGTAGACGTTTCAAACTTTAACCCTGAGGATTCCCAGCTCTGGACCCCAGACCCCAAAACAGGTTTGTAGATCCTTCTACATTTTCTTTTTGACAAATTCAGCTCTAAATTCTAAAGAACATTCTTATTTGGTGAGTGAATGTGAAAAGATCAGCCCTATTTTTTTTTTTAACTTTGATGGTTTAAAGTAGGGTTTTTTTTATAAAGTTCATCGAACAAAGAACGCTCTAAGATCTGATTTGGAACAACAATATTACAATATTACCATAGTACTTCTACTACAACCAAGTATTATTATTGTAGGACAGTGTGTACACACACACAGAGAACACAAAGCCAAGACTGTAACGTGCCTGCAGCGGTACTTTCAGTCCAGTCAAATGATCTTCATAAGGTCTCTCATGGAACACATACTGTAGGTCATGGGTTCAAATCATGAAGGTTCAAATAATGAAGACGTACGTGATGTCGGACGGATCAGAGACACTGGACTACATGTCGGAGACCGATCCTTCTCTGGGGTTTCACACCTCTGACGAAGAATCAAGATCCAGATCCAAAATAATCTGACGCTCCTCAAGCTAACGCAGCTAACGCAGCTAACGCAGCTAACGCAGCTAACGCATGACCACGAACGGCAGACTGTAAACAACGTCTTAGCTGCAGCAACATGTGTCACGAAGAGAGTCGCTAGAACATACAGTAAGTGACAGCGGTGTTAGCCTAGCGCTGTTAAAGTGTCGGTTCTGTGCACAGGGAGTTCAACCTTTGTAACAAGTGTGTGTCTGGAAGTTCAACAAACAAACAAACAAACAAACACACACACACATCTCTAAAACATGTCTGTATAAGTTTTTTTTTGCAAGTCCTTTTAATCCTTGCTTTAATTACTGCCAAATGAATCATCAACAGATCCTCCAGTCTGTGGTATCACAAAGGTGATTATCTAGGTCGGTACTTCTGTCTGATGAACCGATTACTAAACAAACATTAGGACGTTTGTAGAATCGACAAGACTTTATCCAGAACAAATGATAAAGTCGTCAGTTTGACAGACAAAGACTGGGACTGAATGATTTAATCAATGACTCAAACACATCATCATCAGCAGCTAATCACTGATCAGCCTCGGCGTTTTCAGCTGGTGCTGCTCTACATTTGATGAGATCAACACCATGTGTGACTGACTTTTTTAACACACTGTAAAAAAAATACATTTCCGTTCTCCACGAATCTTACAGGAAACTTTTTTTTAAAAAATCCCTACATTTCCAGGTACCCAGTTCAGTCATTTTCGCAGCATTTCTAACGTGCCTTCATCGAACAACCTCCGAACCAGACTCATTTTAAACGGTACAACTTCAAGGCTACTTACCCCCACGTGTCCCTGAATGAGCGGCGTGTTAAATTGAGATAGGCCAAAGAGTGAACGATGGCGTTCAGACGCTGAGCCGCAGACGTTGAGTGTGGTTACAAGCCCGCTTCACGGCTGTTGACAGATCACTGTTTATAAACATGAGACAACAGTGACCTATGAACCCTCGCAGCAGATAGGTGGGGGCTGAAGAAGGAATTACTTTTAAAGAGCACACCCTCCGAGGGACAACAAAGTTTCCTGTGTTTTCCTGTTAGGAATCTTTCCTCTGCTAACCCCTGAAGGAAAGGGTTTTTTTAAATAGATTAATTTAGCTACTGATCTACAAGTTTTTATTTATTTTTTTTTATTCATGGCCAGTATCTGATATTTTATGTTTTCACTCAACTTTGGGTTTTGTTTTATTTAATTTATTAATAAAAGCAATTTTAAGGCTTTATTTGAGAAGAAATATTGAGGTTTTGTTTTCAATTAAAAAAAAGGAAGACTCGCACAGTAAATGGTCAGAAACATAAAAAACTATAGATCCGTGGCCACTTGAAGGGAGTTCAGTGTCACATCTAAGACGACCAAATGATTTACTTAAACGCACAATGACGGACCACATGGTGGCAGAAGTGGTTAGTGTGTTGACATAGCAAAAATCTCTCTCTGTGTCTGTGGTGTTTGTCCAGGTATTACTAATCAATAATATACAAAAAGAACTGCAGTAGGAGAACAATTACTAAAAAAAAAATACTTGGAAAAATATACTTTACTATTGAATTATTTTTAAAGCAACCTCCATGTTGCAGTTTAAGTAATGGGTACTTTTATAAAAAACGCTTCTTTTGAATCTTCAGACACTTGAGTTTCACGACCGTACGCTTCTTTTGAATCTCTTCAGACACTTGAGTTTCACGACCGTGTAGGATTAGGTTAATGGACTGTGAGTGTGAGTGTGAGGGTGAATGGCCAAAATTGTCAGCGGTTCTTAGTATTTTTCCTTCTAATTTCACCCTGACACTCGGTCATCATCATCGTCACTGATGATGTCGTTGGTGAGACATGGGTTGAATTTAAAACTCACCAAAAAAGGTTTTCTTCTGTTTGGACCTCCAGTCTGGTTTCTTATCTGTGACAGGTTTTTTCCGACTGGTCTGAAACATGCACTGTGAACAAACATTTGACAAAAAAAACAAAAACAAAACTCAATTTTAACTTTTTTGACACAAACATGAATCAAACAAACAGCACAAATTATGCAAAACATACAGGAAGAAGACATTGTTGATACAGCTGTATGCAGGTTGTTGTGATTATAAACCAATCAAGTTTTAGGCAACGTGATCGGAAATGTGACATGTGACAAAGTCATTAAAATAGCAGAGGTAGGATTAAGAAACGACCTGATGATGTCCAATGACAGAGATCATGTTAATGACATAATGATGTCTGTGCCCCACATAAACAAGTGAACTGACGAGTTTAATTAACACAAAACATTTAATGAACAGTGTGACAGCCAATTAGCAGAAGAGAGGAAAAAAGTAATATTACTTCACCGAACTCGGCGTTTGTGTAAAAATGCTAACACGGCAGCCGCGATTCAAGCGTTTTATTGCTTAAATCAGGATTTAAGCAAATATCGATACGCTGAAATATTGCGATATTACACAGTTTGTGCTTCGATGGCTGTGACTTCAGGCACTTCTGCTTCCTAACGCGGATGCCTGGCTAGGTTCAATGATGCCGGCAGAACCAAGAGGTAACACAGTGCACACACTCTCACATGCTGATCATCTGCTGCCTCTGAACAAGGGAGCAGCTGAGAGGGATCTGTGCTCGTATCCAGTCTTGTTCTGTGCAGGATGTGGCCATGAATGACTGGCATTAATATATATATATATGTATAAACAAACCCTCCAAAACAACTAAATACCCCTGGAAATATTGTCTTGTGTCTTTGCCAAAGTCGCCTGTAACAAAGCAAAACTTGTTTGGAGTCCACGAAGGGAAACGGCTTTAACCTTAAGCTGCTTCATATGATTCTCACACAACCCAACACTTCCTGGTTTTCTGGCTCAAGGTTACAGGGCAATACAAATAATGTAAAAACTATTTACCCCACAGAGAGAATTATTGTTAAATTATAAGTTAAATAAACAAACACCTTTAAGCATCAACAAACAGACAGACCTGAAAAACAGATCCAACTGAACAACAAATATCACTCAATCACATGGTTAAATAAATCAGTCTGTAATTGTGGGACTGCTAGTTTGAATCTTGACATCGGCACGATTAGTCACTCAAATCAAAAACTTTGGCTTCGTCAACTGTCTTTTAGTATTGGAGCCCTGAGTGACGCGGTTCAAAGGTCACTTGAATAATAAGGGTCAGCAGGTGTTTTGAGAGTCAAAAGTCAAATATAAAACCGAAAGATTATGGAGTGATAGTAATTCAACATTCAGGACGAGTTGCCCTGTACCGTGTACCTCCTTCGGTTCTAATACTACTGACTGACCACAGGACATGAATAACATTAACAGAGAGGAAAGCGGTGAATGTGGTGGCCACGTTTGAGCAGACTGGGCTCAGATGATCGGAGAAAACACAAAAAATCAGCAGAGTTCAAATAACCGTCGGTACGAACGAATGTACTAACACACCCAGGCCAAACGTAACGTAACAAACACACAAACGCCCCCCCTTGAACTCTATCCACACCATCCAACGGCCTCCAACATGACTGCCATCACCGCAGGAACTCCAGGATGATGTCGCTGTATTTTCAGTCCACTACGGCAACTGGCGCCAACTGAGAACCGCAATAAAAGACTAAGTGATGACTGGGCTGATGAGTACATGGATACCTGGCTCAAGCTGTGTGGCCTGGATTACCACAGTACTCCCAAGTACACAGGGAAATCTGCTAACCAGTGTTCAGTAAGAAAACAAACAGAAAACAACAATCGTATTTACCTCCTTTAGAAAACAAGCCATTAAGAAGTTCGTATCACGCCAATACAAATATCCTCGCCAGCGCCAAGCCTGCGGTCAGTGAGACTCCTTTGAAGATTTTGAGCCCCTGGCTTAGCAAATGTGCAAAAGGAGGTGGGGGCGCGGAGTTAGTGTGTGTGTGTGTATGAGCTTAAGCATATGAGGAGTGGATTCCAGAAACAACCACCTGACCAGATAAAAGTTCAACTCCAGTCATGGGACAAAAAAAAATTACACCTTCTTTTTTTGAATTCAGTGGTTTTTGTATCAGGTCACATCTTTAACAAAACCAAATGAAACAGCGATGAAACGATCGTTAGCAAAAAGTAAAGTAGAGGTTTATCACCAAGCTGGTTTGGCCCATCAGTCTGGGAAGGGTCACAAGGTCATCTCCAAATAATTTAAAGTCTATTTACTCTTTATATTATTATTATTAACTCCTAAAGAATATTTACTTTAGTTAGAGGTGGAGAACATTCAAAACAGTTGGGGGAGCTGGAGGGGGTTTCAGCCAGCTAGAGAGGCCTCTAGTGGTGTGAAAATAACAAATGTAAAAAAATATTATATATTTTAATATATAAGTCGCAACTGGGTATAAGTCACAAATCCAGCCAAAGGATGAAAAAAAAGTGTGACTAATAGTTTGGAAATACAGTAAGTAAAAAATAACAGTGATGTAATGGTTGTTTCACAAGAACTCACAGTGTTTCTGTAGAAGAACATTTTTCTCAACTCCAATGAAAAATGACAAAAACTGTCGACATGTTGTTATTGCAGGTTTGACTGCAGACATTAAAGGGGTTTTTTAATTATTATTTATAAGTGAAAGTGTAAAGTGAGCGTGCTCTATTCTCATCAGCCTCATTAGTGGTTAGGAACTGGCTTTTCAGTACACGGTGTCTGCAGGAGCAGCGCCTGCATGAGAACCGTACACGTGCAACAGATTGTGGACGATATTATCTCTCTGACCTCTGTTTATGAAATTATTACAGGACCCAACCAGCTGGTGGCCACAGGGCCGTTCACTGGGGGGGTGAACAGGGGCCGAGACAGCTCAGAATTCTAACAATACATTATTTACCAACACTTGATGACAATTTAGAATAAATAATTCTAAAGATCGTGTTGGTATACGTGGGTTGTCCAGTCTCCAGGTAAAACAGATATTTGTCCAATTCACCAGGGTTAATTATAATCTGCTTCAATAAACTTTAAAATTCCAAGTCCTGTAACATAAAGCAGCCGTTGTGTTGTTGTAAAGTTCATAGAATAAATCCAGGAATGTAAGCAAGAAGAGAACAGCATTAACATAAGTTATTACGCAACCCACCAAACAGGTTTAATAATCAGGATGTTTACAGTAGTTGAGTGAATAATAACCCTATATAATATCCCATTTCATATGCTCTGGTCCTACCCGCTGGTAACATTTTTATTTTTTTTTAGATTTGCATTTAAATGTGTTATCTAGTGTCTGCACTTCTCTGTCTCATCAAATCCACAATCTCATTTAGTAAACACTTCTGCTCAACCATTTCAAAATGTTCATGACAAATTAGATTCAATAAAAAAAGAAGGGATGACAATATCAGTCTTTTCTATTGGTTCGGTTTGAATATATTGGAACAAAAAGTTGCCTAAAATGTGCCAAAAAAAAAAAAAAAAAAGTTGCAACCTTGGCTAGTGTTTTGGTCTTGACAGTTGAACGCAACTTAGCACATTCTTGCTACATTTTTCAATTTGTTGCATGTGTCGCGTCTGGATAGTTCGACTGCAAATACCCACAGTTGGCATCAACGGACGCACAAACTGTCTCTGCCTGAAGAGGTGGATTTTTTTTTTTTTACATTAAAGAAGCTAATGTTCCCATAAAGGCACATCTCTACAACTACAGCTACCAAATTTGAATTACATCAAATGATGGGGGGAAAACTGACAAGGTTTAAAGAGACGAAGATTTAAGATGCAAGATTAAAGTACAATGTTACTTTCGAGGTTCTAAACTGGACAAGTTTCATGTAAATCTAGTTTTTCTTTAGTAAAAGACCCAAAGATGCGTTCATTACAAACAATCCCTTAAGGCAGGCAGAGGTAATATCTTTTTATAACCAAAGTTTAAATGACTAAATGTGATGATACACGCATTATTCATGTATATCATGACATCGTGTGTGTGTGTGCGCCAATCATTTCAATACCAGGTCCGGGAACGGGTTTAAGGAAACACAATTGCGTGTATGCTCTAGTAGTTGTGCAGATTTTAAAAAAGACAAAGTCTCGTGGTTAAATAAACAGGTAAATGCAAATGAACCACGCTACAGGGGTCGATCTCATGGCCGCACGTGGTGCAGTGAGTCCAACGGCCAGCGCTATCCGCCTTCAAAAAACCCCCAAAGCGTTTTTTTAAACAAAAAACCACACCATTTAACGACCCACAACAAAACTAACCGAATTACTGGACATAAACAGCACCGGTGTTAACGTCTGTGTTACAATTCACAGCCTCTCGGTCCATTTGTTGTGTTTTCTTGGCTGTCACTCACTCACTTACACACACACACATATATGGAGCTAGCCTCAAGTGAAGGCAGCGATCCCACAGCTAACGTTAGCATCAAGACGACTGATAGGAAATTAGCCATAGTCAGAGCCCACAATGACAGACACGCTAACATATCCTCTCCGAAACACCCAAAGGTAGCGAACTGAACGGCGGCTCGCGGCGACTACACACCGCACTGAGCGCTACCCGGGTCCATGTTGTGGGAGTGAATGAAAGCAAACGGGGTTTTTTATATAGTTACCTCACTCGAGTGCCGTGTGCATCTCCTCT